TAGAAGAGAACTCTGATCGTACTGGTTCGATTAAATTGGAACAAATCTTTTAAAAGGTGAGGGGCCAGATAAAGGAGAAAAACTAGCAGTTCTATCCCCGAACTTGATGAAGAAGCAAATTAGCGCTGCAACTCCCTTGCGCTCGAGACAATCTCGTTTACTAGGGAAATGTCTGGGAATCTCTCGACTTTTACAGAGACCTTTTTCGTCATAGTGTTACATGACAGCTAAGCTCCTCTGTGAAGGGTATTGACAACCTAATCACTCGTTTCAGTTGAGTGTAGCTTTGCAGATCGTACATCGTCTGGCAGAAGAGAGAGAGTTTCAGCTTAGTACATCATTTGCCATCATATATAGTAGACAGCAGAGGCGAACTCTCAATTGAGGAGGGAAAGAACAGAGCCTGTTAGCGGGGAACGGCCTGTGGGAGATGACCGTGAAAGAAGGTATTTTAAAATTCCAGTAGTAGGTCGCTACATCGAATGAGTTGCACAGTTCTGACATCTGAAAGGCGATTAGGACCCCGATGGGACTCAACGCTGCATGGGGGAATTGTAGAGTCTACGGGTATCTTCAGCGGTATCCGACAGAAGTGAGAATTACCATGCTCTGTGGTGAAAGTATTTTCAAGCAGGAGAAATAGAATACGCATCCGTTCTACCTAAATAAATATGATAAATATTGAGCAGGTTTGTTGCAAGGACTATGTAAACTTACTCTCTTCGACATAGTGTGCGGGAGATAGATTGTTATGGTTCATAAGGCCCGCTAGATCACTAATTCCGAAGAAAATCTAAGTTAGAGCTCAGAGTAAGCGATCACATTGAACTTCACTGAAGACATGTTGTAACGTTTCAAGAATAAGCTCACTGAGCCTTCAGGCTTAAGCATAGGATACATCGGGTATCGGAATGGGTGGCAATGTCCAGAAAGTGTAGTGCACAGGGTTGACTCCACCTGCCACCGCTGGATCTAACCAGGTTGTGGTTTTGTTTGTGGATGAAAGGATGTACAAAATGATCGTGATCAATGTACCATAAGTATTCCACTGGAGCTCAGTCGAGTAACACTCCGATAAATAATGGGAGTCTCTGGACTTTATCGAAAGATATAGGACATGAGATCCTCTTGAACTCGCTGTCCTGGCGAGATTTTACAAGGACTTTTTTTTATACCGTTTCGATGCCTTGAGAATTCTTAGCTAAGAACCGATGAGTTTGAAATTTATAATGTATTCCAAAACGAGGTCAGTCTTGAGTGTTCTAACTGCAGCGCTCGATTCCCCTAAGATATAGAGAAAATTGTTATACGTGCAGATTGCGAGTGTACATTGACACTGTAAACAACAGCAACAGCTTTGGAGCAAGGAGAACGATGGGATCTGAAACGAGTAACAAATTAACTGTAGCAATTGCATTTCATGGTTGAGACGTTTGAAGCGCAACCGTTGCCATGCACATCTGTCATAGCAATTCATCCCCTTCAGTTGACGTGACTGGTTTACCAGAGCTAAGCTTTATCTGATTTCGGATGGATGGCACCCAAGAAGGAAGATTGGAGTTGAACCGAACATTATGAGATGGCAGATTTACAAGGTAAATAAGAATAGTTGTTGACTGCCTGGAGTGCACCTTCGATTTATGCCCTAGTTTAGAACAGCTGCCAATTCGAAGGTGCGTACGCTATGAAAGAAGATGGGACTTACACGTTTTCTTAGAAGTCAGTTACACTACTAGTCAGTTAGTGGGTTAGGGAACCTTTACTCATTTGCTATGGAACATTTAAATATATTATCAAATGATTTGGAAATGATTCGCGTAAGGGTTTTGCTGCTTGAATAGGCAGATCATGGCTACCATGAGTTCCGATGACCGATGGAAATTGTCAAGTTTGGCAGCACCAATGGAGGTGAGCGCAGATAGAGTGCTGTGAGGCTAGTGATTTTTCATATCAGCACCAAACTGTCCAGAAACTTCATTGTTTGTCTGTACTTCTTCCTAATCAGAAGTATTGGCTCTATTTGACCCATTCCCTCCCACCACCACTTTGAAATCGTTTGGGCGTTACTCTGCACCTAATTCGTAACTGGGAAACCTCAAACTACAAGGTTGGGTAGGAACACGAGACATGAATTCCGCTCGCCTGGCTAAGCAAGGTGTTAGTCAAAGAAGAATCTCGTATTCAGGGGCTAGGCACACGTACAATGAAAAGCAAAGGGTATAGCCTTGTGACGGCCCTCACCCTGTCTTTGGGTTTTCAGCTACAAAAAGTGGCGACCCCATATAACCCTTATGTCTTGACCGAAATACACGATGAACGCACATATTTATCTCACTCCTCGAATAAAAGGGGCCATCAAAAACCCAAGACCTGGATTGGAACGCAAGCCCATTTGCCATATCTTTCCTACATTTGACCATCTATTTAGCACTTCCCTAATCCTCTTGACACCTTTTTCTCTGCGAAAATATTATTAAGAAGTTCAGCGACACTAGTAGTTTCCCCAGTTTTGGAAAAAGGGGATCGCCGATTCGTTGAACCACTGTGGTACCAATACCAATAGTGATTGTAGGCTCGATTAAGTCCCAGTGTATAAAAATGCAAAAAAAAAGAAATGAAATCGTAGTAATCGCTGCAGAGCTTGCTCTTCGACCCAATGAAAGATGCCAAAGGCCATTACATCTCAATATTTGTTCATAGAGATGGAGCGGAAACTGAACAGCAATTCATTTTGCGTGAGAAAAAGCTGCTCGAATAGCAGCGACTACGCTCGCAATAGCATTATTCGGTCTATGCTGATCATTTTGTAGTAGGTAATCCAGAGAAGATCGTGATGCTAACTGAACGATTTGATGCAAGCCGGGAAATATGCGCGAAAGGCGCTGCGCAAGACGATGNGATGCATTGCCCAAGACGTCGCGAGCAGGTTCGTGGCTATCCCGCTACTGGTACAAACAAAGAAACGGGCTAGCGGATGGTACCTGTCATAATACGAAGCTATATAAGCAGACGATTAGGAAGCTATCACCAGTTTTCTTAGCCGCCGCTCTTAGTATGATGGGGCGAACTATTCAGACTGCTCAACTTCTGTTAATCTTCTCTCTCATTTCTGCAGACCTTGGCAGTACCGCCATCTAGCGGCTGAATGTTTCCGTGAAGATTAATTTCGGCTCATGAAAAGTTACCTGCTTTTATTATAAGTATCTTGTTCAGAATGAGGCAGGCAGTCCTATCACTGTTGCTTTGCGCCAGCACGTCAGCTATCCTGTTCCCTATGATGGGAGGCGGCGGAGGATGTTGTGAGTGATACCGACTGTTGAAATAGCAAAAAATGAAGAGACGTTTTCGAAAGGGCAACCCAATTATAAGTTGTCGAAGAAAAGACCATAAAATAAGAGGAAAATGACTTTGCCGTGGTTTTTCGATCTGTCATATAATACGTAGTGTTTGTGCTAGAGCCAATTGTTGAAGTATTTAACTATGACACTTTTCAGGTTGTCAGCAACAACAACAATCATGCTGCTGTGGTGGAGGTGGAGGTTAGCTTTCTCACTTCTTGTAATCATGGAACCAATTCGTAGGGTGAAAGCCTCCTAGTATGTATGTAACAAACGATCCAGGCCTCGAATACATATCTGTATCATATACAAAATACACAGATAGCTAGCTATATCTTGGCTCTCGTTTGTTAAATATTTTCTGTTATGCATTTGTGGGTGGGTATACGCGTATATCCACTTGCCGATGTGTATAGGTACACCCGTATTGCAGTCCTTGCCTAGACCCTATGTGAATGATTTGTCAGCTCATAATTGATTGGAATTGTACAGATTCAGGCGGCGGATTCGCTCAATCCTTTGGCGGTGGCGGCGGATGTGGAGGTGGAGGTGGATGTGGTGGCGGATGTGGAGGAGGTGGAGGTGGATGCGGTGGCGGATGTGGAGGAGGATGTGGAGGTGAGCCGCTTTCTGCTTCTTCTGACTGACAACTTTTCTTCAAGTTCCCCATGCTTTTGAAACATTAGCTGAAAACAAGTTGCGAAGGTGCAGAAGCCCTAAATTAGGCATTATTGGCACATGATTCGGGATAGAATCCAGAAAAAGTGACCTCCACCCGGCTACCCAAGTCTTCTAACCTACCATGTTCCATCACTCGATCCCAAACTATCTGAAGGGATAAACCGGTCTGAACACTGAAAGGCCAACATACTTCATTGTAGTATAATCCCTGTTCGACTTGTCGGCTCGCAATAATGATAGTTATGCAATACTGCATTCCTTTTAACAGTCTTTCAATTTTGAAGGTGGTGGAGCATCATATGGTGGCGGATACGCTGCCCAGCCATCCTACGGCGGCGGCGGCGGATGTGGAGGAGGATGTGGAGGCGGATGTGGTGGTGAGCTACTTTTTGCTTTTGATGTCTTATCCTAACTTTCTTTTACATCATCAGTGGGGATATCATACAAAAGCAAGCCCTAAATGGGAGTATATCCCCTGGTTCAAACATGGTATGCAAGCTGATTGAACTTACGAACTCAACGATCGGTACCAGAAGAACGCAACGAAGAGTTTTTAGTGAAAGAAGTTTTTTGAAAATGACTAATCTGAAAAGTTTATTCCTAATGACCATTCTGAGATAAATTGCAATGGGGTGAGGGGTCGTTACTTGAACCATTAATGTTCTTAGCATTTATTTTGAGACAAGAAAAGACCTCACTAATTAAAGTTCGGTCGATTTCCAGGCGGTGGAGGTTATGCTGCAGCCCAGCCATCGTACGGCGGAGGTGGATGTGGAGGCGGATGTGGAGGAGGATGTGGTGGAGGTGAGTAATTTTTTTTATCTTGGTCACTTCTAAGATACTCTTTCCTTCTCAACATGATGCTATACGAAGACAAAACTGTATATTCGAATCTGACTACAATCTCAGTAATCACGTGATAGCTGGCAAACTTCACAACTTTGATATTTTCACAAAAAAGTATTTTGAATGATATGTCTTATAAGAAAGTTGTTCTTTTTGGCTTGACAAAGTTTTGCTAAATATACTCCACTAATGCCATGTGTTATAATAGAGAACAGAAATGATCTCAATCAAAAAAGGACACCTTCGAGAGCCCGAAAAAATCTGAAATTGCTGCTTTACCCTGTACAATAATTATTTGAGTCATTTTCCAGGCGGAGGATATGCTGCAGCCCAGCCATCGTTCGGTGGCGGCGGATGTGGAGGTGGATGTGGAGGTAAGTGGTTTTATGGCATAACTAACTAGTGAACTGTCTCTTGTTTTTCTATATTAGGAACCACAGCGAAGCAAGAAACTCTGCGTCTTACACAGAAGTGTTATCACCACTTCCTCGAGACTAGAACGTTGAAAATTAGCAGAATAGAGTGGTAAAGGAAGGACTACCTCCAGGGGTATCGGTAGATTAACCGGCTACTCATAGCCTCTTCTACCTGGTAGAGCAACCAGAACCTATGAGATTCAAGGATTCATGGAGGGAACCTTGCTCAGTAAGGACACAATCGTCGCAATGGAGTACTCCACATTTATCACTAGTCATCAGACAATATTATTTTTTTGTGCTATTGAGGAGATTTATAGCTCACCCCCCCCCNCGAAGCAAGAAACTCTGCGTTTTACACAGAAGTGTTATCACCACTTCCTCGAGACTAGAACGTTGAAAATTGGCAGAATAGAGTGATAAAGGAAGACTACCTTCAGGGGTATCGGTAGATTCACCGGCTACTCATAGCCTCTTCTACCTGGTAGAGCAACCAGAACCTATGAGATTCAAGGATTCATGGAGGGAACCTTGCTCAGTAAGGACACAATCGTNCCCCCCCCCCTCTCCTCTCTATAGGGGAACACTCAAGTTAACGGTGGGAACGACCGATATAGAACTTTTAGTATCGGTCATTATCGATTTGTATAGAAATTGACAAACATTCATAACTTTTTTTTACTATAGAAGAGTGATGCCAAGCGATAGATCCGTTTCCGTCCCAAAAAGTAGGAAAGCCATCAGCTTCGCATTTCATGGCATAGGAGCAATATTATTACTGTTATTAGTATTATTCTAATTTAGGATGCGGACGTAAGAAGAGAGAGGCCGCACACGTTATCTCTCACGAAGATGTGAACAACTGCAATAGCGAAGAGCTGCGAATCCTTCTCAACGAGGTATCATGGGCAGTACTTATGAGAAGTCTTATTCAATACATACATAGTGCGAAGTAATTAATTTGCAGTAGGGAGGGAGTTTCAAGAAAGCTCTAGGTTTCCTCTCTTGAAGTCACGTAGAAGTTACAGGTAGAGTTGAGTGGGGAGGCTGGGGAAAGTTAACGGAGTTCATGAGAGAACCACAAGTTGCAAAAATACTATTTGGCTAGGTATGAGGGCAGTTTTTTTCTTTCTTTTTCTCAAGGAGCCTCTATAGCTACCCCTCTATTTACATGAAGAGTTCCTTTATAGCAGGAATTCAACTCAGACGTCAAATTCGATCTTTTCTAGAACACTATAAGGGATGAGTCTTCTCAAGTCTTTCAAATCACACAAATCACGGACTTAGGCTTCAACCGCCAAGCACTGAATTCGTTCAATTTAGAATGTGAAAAAAGACGTCGCTTCAAGCTTGGCTGCTGTTGGTGAGAAGCTCAAGGCCCATAGCGACTACTCGGTGTTCTGCAGCGACAAGGTATGTTTGTAGATTCCTATTTGTAGGTCTGAGACTGCTAGGAACTCATTCTCGTAGACTTTTCTTCGGATTAATTTCACCAAAGCAGTCTCTATCTAGAAGCCACAATTCATTGCTGAAACCGACAACTTCTGTCAAGTTCGCGTCGGAGATATCTACTGCGTCGCACTTCGTCTAGATGTGAAAGTGGAGGTGAGCTAGTTTCAAATGCTGATAGTGAATCCTCAGTGCGACAATCGGATTTGTCCAAGTTATCAAGTACAGGAACCACTAATGGATAGGAAGTTTAACAGGTGTTTGGGATTCATTTCGAAAAAAAAAGGAACAAGACCTTTGATGTGACTCCAATCCCTACAAATAAGCATGGGAATGAAAAGGGATTCACTCAGTCTAGTTCGTGCACTGCAAATTGCTGTCTAGGAAAACTCATGGGAACTTATGGATTACCCAAACACAAGTTACATCATTTTAAATTCCGTCCATATCCTTTTCCAAGAATGAAAGGCTTATATAACTTTGATGTCTTTACAGAAGAAGCCCGAGGCAACCAAAGTCGAGCATACCGCCACTGTCAAAGTCGAGGAGACCACCACTGTCAAGGTCCACGATACCACCACCGTCAAAGTCCACGATACCACCACAACCAACACCCACGACACCACCACAGTCAAGGCCGAGGAGACCACAACTGCCAAAGCCGACCAGGCAGCCGCAGCTGCAGTTGTAAAAGCTGAGACCCAGGCTGGTATCGCTGCCACTGTCGAGAAGAAAGAGCCTGAAAAGCCTGAGGTCAAAAAAGACTAGGCGCCTACTCAACTTCATAATTGATTACTTAAAATTATTCACTTGTATAAAGTAACGGTTAAATTTGCTTTGTGTATCAGACTTATGACGAAATTTTCTGGAGGGACTACGGCGGTACCACGATTTTTTTGAGCTGTGATAGCCCTCAAAATGTCCCCTCGACGAATAGTTTTTTGTCAGACAATCATGACATCATCCACCTCGGAACTGTTGAGAACAGGTCTGATAGCATTTCTAAGTTGTGTCGCTTGGCGTTCGAATACCCAAGAGATCTCAAGAAGAGTAAAGAATGACGGGGGAATTCTTTTGACAAGGGAGGTGTAACCATCTTCTTTCCTGAGATGCGTCCGCATTTGACTTCCGTTTAGAATCATTCTTGCGGCTGGGATACGCACGTCGCCTACAAAGTGATCTGTTATGGCTAGCCTGGGAGTCAGTGCTTTCACCCTCCCATACGAGTCTGGTATCAATATTCGATCCCGGAGGGATGAAGAGATGATTAGCTCTGGCGAGAATCAACTCTGAGTTTGAACCCTGGGCTTGAATTGAATAAGATAACTTGACTTTCACCGATCATGACCCCAAGGAATCTCGAAATGTCGCTAATCATGGCTGGGTAAGGCTAGGGAAAGTCGTCGGCTATTAACTGATCAAATTTCCACCCACCACCGTTGATGACCTGCGTCGATCTGTGTTCGTCAAGGAGCCGCTCACTCCATACCGCATGTGAGGAACTGTACATGTGGTATGTAATGAGAAATGAACATTCAGTCATAAACAATTCCCATAGTCCTAAGTCTGGAGATACGAGGAGAATAACAATCACGCAATGGTCTCATCGTAATCTGGGAAACTAGCCTTACGATGAGCTGACAATTGCTTTCCTATCTGACAGACCTTCATTAAACTCAGGTTGATAGCATAGCACTGGACTTACCGAAGAATGGAGTGGGCAGGGCTGTCGTCTCGAAGAAAGTGACTGACCGAGAACCACTTTCCTCACTGATTACGGAGATCCTGAAAAGATGGCGTAACTGGTTACTGCGCTAGTTCCTCACGTCCTTAACTGTCTAAACAAGCTCCCCAACAGGATACAATGCTAATGAAAGCATTCAGCTTACTTGTATATAAACAGAGTCACAGGCTTGTCGAGTCAACTCAGTGGCTTTCTGTCATCGCTCTTCTTCTAAAGTTCCATCTCAGTCAGGGCTTCATCCCGTACCTGTACCTAGCGGGAACCGTAATCAGAATCCTTTTTGTATCTAAAAACTTTTTGCTTTTGGTGTTACTTCACGGTGAGATTGAAAAAGGACACTTCACGAAATGAGAAAGCACCAATCTGTCTATCAAAGGAAAAGTCTAAATTTGAAGACTAGTTATCAATTTAATTCTTTCTTTGAGCCAGAGTAAGTTTACAGCTTATTGTTAGAACATTCAATAAAACCTAAAACCCTATAGGGCAGGATAAGGGGAGAATGTTTCACCGAACCGATTTAGTGTAATGAATAACTACGAGTACTCAAAGAGATGCCTGGCATTGCGTGGTCTCCAACTGAAATTCCTCAGCGTAACGAAGTGTTGTGGATCATCGGTATACTGTCCACAATCTCATGACTCGCTCTAATAAAAATTCCTTGAACAATGCAAATTGGTGATCGAGGTGAATAAGCCCTTGTCAGTTCTCTACGTCGATGAAAATGAGAGTTCAGTCTCCACAAAACAGGTTTACAATTGTCGTCTCCAGGAATATATATATTCGGTTGTTTACGACTTTTACTATCCAATTGAGCTCATCATGCGGAGTAAAGTCATGTACATCAGAGATTTGTACTGTGAGTCACAAAGTGTTAGATTGCCGAACTTCGAATGCCTGTTTTTGCTCGATATCTACAGCTTTTTCTTGACAAGACCGAAGTACTTTTATTGAAGATTTTTTCGCCTACCAGTACAGCCGTACTACTGCCATCCTGAGCTTTTTCAGTGGAATCCCTCTTTTTCTTCTCCTTGACTTATTCGGATCACCTTGATACTTTCTTCTGCCCTTACTTCCCAAGTAACCACATTTTCTTGAAAACACCGCTCAATTTCTTAGATCAAAAGCTAGAGGCATACGCTTTTCGAACGGTTAGAGGTATTGTTTCAAACAGAAATTTTGCTTTTCAGGATGAAAAGTGTCGTGGTAGCGCTGATGATGGTCTCAACGACTTACGCTCTATTCTTCCCGATGATGGGTGGAGGAAACTGTTGTAAGTCATCTACTACACAACGTAACCAGTTACGTGTTTAGGGTGGCACGGTTTCATTTTCGATGGTTGAGCAAGTGATCTCTTTCGATGCATTGAAAAGAAACAAAAAAATCAGAAGGCACCCAATCAGTGGGCGTTTCTCTCCTGAAGTTACTATGTAGTATATGTAGTGAGGATATTCGGCCGATTGCTGAAAGAAACCTTCATCCGATCACCCTGAGCTCTATGAAAAGAACGAAGAAGTCAATGAGTCTTTTTCAGGCTGCTGTGGTGGTAAGTATTACTGGAAGATTGCATTGTAAACTTTCGCTTGATATAACTAATCAGTCACCTTTGAAATCCTGCTTAACCGAACGGAACGAATGGTAAGACCTCTCAGGCTGCCGAAGCTGTGGTGAGTTTTGTTATATAGGTAAGAAATTGGGCACGCCGCCAGCCAAAGCTGAAGTTCGAGGCTTTTCCAACTTCTCATTCGAGGGGCACTTAAGTTGCTGAAAACGGTGTTGTACCAGAGTTGCATTTGTCTGTTGTGTTTGGCTACATTGTTAATGGGTATCGCCCCCTGGTGTTTAAGGATGTGCTGCTCCTCCTCCGCCCCCTCCACCTCCACCCCCACCACCTCCTCCACCTCCTCCAATGTGTGGCTGTTGTGGTTGTGGCGGAAGGAAAAAGCGTGAGGCAACGACAGTGCTCACCAGCCGGCACAATGAGAGCTGCAATAGCAACGAGCTCCGACAAATTATGAAAAAGGTGATGTTGCCCTATTCAATGTTTTTCACTATGTTAATCATTGGCTGCATAATCCGCCTCTGAGACTGCCGAGAAGAGCTGCTCCTTTTTCTAAAGAGAGTGTTTAAGGAGAATTGTCGAGTTTATTGAGCGAGCTGCTTTATTTTGTTCTTCAGGCTATCAAAGTCGACCCTCATCTTAGTCTCATAACAATCATTGAACTTCTAAAGGACGGCTACGGGTATGTGACAGTTTGCGACGATAAAGTGAGTTCAAGATTTTTCTTGTCCGATATTCAAAGCAATGGGAAAGAAGGCTTTCACAGACGCCCCCATAAAAAAATGCTCTCGTAGTTTTCTGGAGCAATCTTTGAAAAAAATCGAAATGAAAGCTGGTCCACATTGTATTTCCAATTCAGAAAATATCGATTGCTGCACAGACGGATGAATACTGCATCATGAAAAAGAATGGAATTCACTGCGGTGTTTTCCGATTGAAACAGAATGAAACAGTAGGTTTATAGAAAAAGACTAGTCGCTTCTATATCGAATCTAAATGAATTCCAGGACCATTCCGATGGAAGCGCCGATGAGAGTGGAAGGATAGGTATCGAGAACGATTCTGTTGAGGAAATTTCGAAAGAGACAACGGAAATTCTTGTGAAAAAGGCTGATTAACAGGCGTGAACGATCTTTTTCTCCGCAATATTTCGTATAAATTCTATGAACATTATAAATCTGAGGCTGGACAAACTCACTTGGCTCGTCGAGCTGGCAAGGATATAGATGATTATGGTCAGTTAAGGTAGGGCAGGACTGGTACATACTGACTCGTGCTGACTGACCGAAAAAGTGTTTCAGTGTGTGCGCTGAGAAACGTGATTTGCGTTGATAATGTGCAAACAAGCATTCCTTGCTGAAATAGATGAGCATAGTAATTTGACCTCTGCACTCGCTCAACTAACAGTTAATACTTCTCAGAACAAAACAAGAGAAGTGTTTTTAGGACTAGTAGCAGTAGGCGACCGTAGCACCTGAAAAGAAAAAACGGTACTATTCCACTATTACAACCCCAAAAACTCAAAATTTTAATTTTCGATGAAACTTCGCTTATAGGGGTAATCCGATGCCCTGATAACGAATATGACCTTCACTTTTGGCGCTGGTGCCATTTGGCGCCAAATGGCGCCAGCGCCAAAAATGAATGACATATTCGTTATTAGGGCATCGGATCACCCCTATGGGCGAAGTTTCATCGAAAATTAAAATTTTGAGTTTTTGGGATTGTAATGGTGGGATAGTACCGAAAAAACTGAAATGGAGGATCTAAAGCAAGAGCAGGATTCCAGAAATTAGTACGAAGAGTTGCTGAAAATCTTGTGTGGCTTCGGGTCATCAACTAATATCCAAAACTGGTAAGGAGCAAAGGGCAGTTTACGCATATTTCACCTCATTGAGCCTGATCAGTAGTATTGGGTTGTCCGAAAAGTTTCCGCCGATTCTGAACATCCTCTGTTCACCGACTGTTATACAAAAGATCAAGGATCCAACCTCATAAGA